AAGTATGTCCTCATCTTGAGATAAAAAAATAGGATCTCAAAGAGTCGAATGGTCCTCATAAAACATGTTTCCCAACAACTGGGAAGAAAAATGTGGCAAGAATATGTGGCAACAACCCCCCCCCGTGAAAAAATGAGTTACGTTAACGTACTGTGGCGGTATGCACCGACGGAAACCCAAAGTGGTCCTTGGCTGACGTCAACGAGCAATCTAGCTAGAAAGCCAAAAGAGCAGGCTTGTTTTGGGGCAGGCTACCACCAAGCGAAGGGTGTTGCACCACTATAGTTTCAGATGACCTACAGTTGCAATGCGGCACCTGGGATACTCACACTAGTAGTGCAACCCGTCTGTATAGGTAAAACCACGACCCCTTTCCCTCTGTTTTCTGGCCTCTCGATCAATCAGAGTACATGTAATGCGTCTGATTTCAAATTTATTAAATTTGGACCGGTTTTTCTACTTTGGATGATATGACAAGCGACATCTCAAAAGGCTTTGCACGGTATCGTACACAGTAGACCTAAAAATAAAACATACAATTCTCCTTTATGAATAAAACACTTGGCTTTGTTTGTGTGAATTGCACTGTACATACATAGTACGTGTATGTACAGTACGTTTATAAAGGTTTGTAGGTGATGTCTGAAACAGTGGCAGACACTCGAACATGTCGCAACGCGTAAAAGCCCTGCCTGTACATCATCGCAAAATCGGCTTCATCACAAACACAATGAGAACGTATTTAACTGCACATTTTGTCTATTTTTAGCAGCATGTACTTATCCAAGGTACAGTGTAATAAAAGTAATGTATGCATACATATTATCATTTATATCACATACATTATATTTACGTCCCTCCAACATATAAATACCCCTACTATAAATGGTACGGGCCACCTCCTCATTTTTTTGCAAATGAGGTGTTACGTAGGAAAACCCAGTCTTCTGATCGGTTGAGAGGCCAGAAAAACGGGGAAAAGGGGCATAGTTTTACCTATACAGACGGGTTGCACTACTCACACTCAGGCAGGGTAGGGGTTGTTGCCATGGGTGACACAACTCAGAAACAGACACGGGCACCCTTCTCTGATTTATCATCCTTTATTCCCAACTCATCTCAATCAAAGTAATCTCTTACTGGCAAGAATATCATATAAAACAAGTGCTCTGGAATATGTGTTTGCCGAGCTTTCGGTAGCATTGTTATTATGATCCAATAATACCCCTTGGCCTAGGCCCACCTGCTCCACTTTTGGAATGGGGAAGCTGGAGTGACTTTCATCACCTTCTTCCCCTTGGGTCTTCATGGTTCCTGCTATCCTTTCCTCCCCTCCTTTTCTAAATCATCAAAACCATCCTCTTAATAAACAAGGAATTCGTTTTATCATCGTAATGAATAATTCAGTTTTGGTAAAATGGAAACAATCCTCTTGAACGTGAAAGAAGTTCATTAACTGAAAGATGTTTTTCAATTTTACAACTTTGCCACTGTTAAGACTTTTCTGAATTTTGGGTTTTCAAGTAAACCAAGCACATACTGGGAAAGAACTTAAAATTCCTCTTCTGTTGGGGACTGAAAGCATGGCAAACCATGGCATAGGCAAAAAATGTGTCTTTCAGTCGTAGTCGTGCAAGATTACAATACTTGAGGTGAACCCAATATGAACAGCTTTCGAACATGCACTGAGCCCATGAGGTGAAGTAGAGTGAATCCTTAAGTTCAATAGGGCGGTACCGGTGACACACACAGCGTTCCTCGTCCTCGTGAGTTTCCTCATCAGAAGGTACATCACGAACAGATGTGATTGTTTGGCTTGGTCCAGGTTCACAGTGTTGTGATGCAGCCATGGAAGCAGATTCTGTTTACTTTGCCCTTTTGGTGGGGTTATACTCTGGTTGGTGTCTTCTTCTGTGACGTTTCCACAAACTGCTCAATCTTCTTCCTTACTGCTTCTTCAGTTATATGGCCTTTCCCAGTGTCACTGAAGAGGCATATCTCCTCTTTCTTGGTACTTTCCCTTGCTGGCCTATGATCTCTTCTCTTTTTTTTAAGAGATCACAGGAGTCTGAGTGAAGGAAGCTGCCACTGCCGTCACCTTGTGGACCAACAGGTTGGGGTTCAGACAAATCTGTCGGCTCACTTGCTGTCTTATTTAGCGCCTTGGCCGGTTCGTATATAGTTTTAGACATCGTTTATTTCATAGTTGCCAGGATATATGCCAGTTTTCTTGAACGAGTTTCGTAAGTTGTCAGGGGATAGGGCCTTGGAGTTTGCTCGGCAAGCTAGTTCACCAATGGAATATCTGTCAATGCTTGTTGTAGATGGGCACGCATGTGTTGGTGCCAAATTGAATTGTAGATTTTCTCAAATGGCCCGAAGCATATAACATCCACTTGCTGCAGGACGTGGCTCGTGTATGCTGGTAAGACAAACGACAAGATATTGTGTTCTCTTGCCCAGTCAATCAATGGCAGGGAGAATGCCCATCATAAAGGACAAGAAGAGGCTGATCGTCTCTGCTGTCTGTGACATACTTTAAGGAATGTGATGAGAGGTAGTCCATGAAAATATCAGAGTTGGATCATGCAGCCACTGTTACAGTTCCACTGGCACCCGGAGGGCAGCCTAAAGGAGCTCTTGTTTCATCCTCCGTCCTGGAAATACGAAATATGGTGGAAGCTGCTGTCCAGTGGCATTCCTGCAACCAATGACTGTTACAGTAGAACCCTTGCCTGTAGTGACAGCAACTGTGCTCTTGGACGCACTGACGATATGAGGTGGAGAATGATTTTGCCTTAGTCCCTTTTTATCAACATTGTAGATTCTCTCAGTGGCATCTTTTAGCTTGTACATGGTCATTATTCTGTCAAGCTCAGTGAAATATGCCTTGACAACTTCCTCAGATGTAGCTTTTGCCCGTTATATGTCCAAACTTAGTGGTTTTTTCACATGAAGCTCCGGCCATCTTCCCATAAAATGTCTGAACCATCTGAGTGTTAATGGATGTCCTGCTTGGCGTTTGTGGAGACTGACTGCATACTAGGTAGCTATGTCTATAACTTCAGCCCTCCTGTACCCATAACCCATTACGGCCATCTTCTTGAGAGGTTCCATAAATTTTGCCTCTTCCTCAAGGGTAAACAAGGGAGCTGGTCCCGACTTGGTAGTTTCTGGTTCAACTCGGCCTTTGACTCTATCCTTCAATGTTGTCAAGGGAACGCCACATCTTTTTGCAGCAGCCTCAACGGACCTATTCTCATCAATAACCAAATGGAATGCTTTGGTTACGGCTAACTGACATGTAGTTCCTGCAGGTGACTGACCAGGGTTGTTTCACCGAACTCATGCCCATGTTATGTGAAAAAAGAAATAATAATACATAATAAATTTACCAAGGAAAAAAATCATAAATAGGGGCTGAGATGCATTTTAGACGAATATACATTCATGAAATTCACACGAAATCATTATATTAATTTTTGTATTTAACTAAATGAAACCTATCTGACAATCTTACTTTATGTCTTTTAAATAATGATAAAAAAATATAAGCGATACGCTTATTAGAAGCCTCCGTAATGGTGACTCGGTGACTTTTTTAAAATTCTGCATTAGGCCTATCGAGAGTTTTGTTATTGCGCACCGTACAGAAACTTTTTAGGACCAATAATAAAGAAAACATGAGCTAAGAAATGCCTCACCATTTTGTATCTAGTAAAATAGGCCCCAATAGAACAACTATTTGAATCGTGCAAGTAATTAACCTACCAGAAGAGCTTTAACTTTCCACATGTTCGGTGACGGACACGGAGCAGCAAACAACCAGGAGATTCCAAGTTTGAGTTCGTGACTACAGAGTTGTTTACATCGCGCGCTGTGACGTAGAAGGTCAAGTGTCGAAAACGTGTACCGTCGAAAACGCGTATAAAAGCGCGTATACGCGCTACAGGGTGCATTCCACTAAATGGTTTTATTTCTACGCGAAAGCTCAATATTTTGTGATGCCACGGGATTTTTACAATAAGACAGACCATACTCGGGAGGGAACATAGAAATATTTCTGTAAATCTTGAATTTGGAGCTGATAGTTTCCAGTTCGGGGTATTTCTTTCACAAAATACCCCAAATTTTGGGCCTATTTTGGATAGAGGCGGGCGGCTAAGTTCAGAAATGAGCGCTTAGTTTCACTGCTTTTGGGGGGTATCTTCCTTGAAAGGTAAATACAAAAACGTTTTCGTGGTTAAGCCCATGAAAGTGAAACGAAAAGTGATCTTCTGGCCATAATTTTGAATTTACAGTGAAAAAACGGAGGCCAACCTCTTCAAGGGAGTCAACAGGCGGCGGTATTTCGGTCCGATTTTGCACTGTTTTCTATGGGCGTGTGTTTGGGCACTAAATTTTGATCCCAGAGATTTGTCGTAAATTCCATGCGCTGATCGGATTTTCCTCCACTCCGAGCCGCACATCAAGAATTGTATAGACCTATAGACGGAGTGAGAAGTGTTTTGTTTCTGTGTGTGTGGGTATGACATGGATGAATTTTCAGCGAAAAAAATGACGAACCGAGTTCATGGTGTTAACAGTTCTTATTCTTTCCAAAATAAAGGTGGGACAAGGACCTGTCATCTACAGTTAAAGTAAGAGAGGACGGCCCATGCAGATAGAGGCACCTTTTAAAATTTCACCCGAGCAAAGCTTGGTTGAAGTAAACACACGCCTGGCTGAATACAGGCCTACAGGCACTGGCCGTGAATAGATTATCTTTTGTTATGGCCTCGAATGAAATGTAGATTTACTTGGAATATGTACAAAGCAAATGATTAGTTGGGAATTGCTTACAAACAACATGCTAAAGTATAATTCATTGAGTGAGGAAAACGTCACAAGTTCCCGAATGCAATCTGAAGTAGCACTGTGCTCTTCCAGACCGCATAAATGGGCCAATGAACAGATGTACTATATGCACACCATGGTTACTCCACACTTACCAGCAATAGCCTGTTCCAATACAGTTTTGATGTGCAGCCGTGGGCGTCGTCGGAAGATACCCCTTAAAAGATTCGCCCCAGCATCCGCTTATCAAAATTCTGAAGCTTCATCCAGATTCCCACTCACTCATTTTCGGTGAAAAATTCTGGCTTCTCGTATGGTTTATGAGTTTTGCGCTTCGTCGATTCGGAAACTCTTGCTGCCCTCTGGACAAATCGTCCGTGGATATCCACGTGCAATTTTTACTCAGTTTTCCACCCGCACTTGCCTATTAAACTTTCATGCTTTTCGCCGTTATGATGGTAGAGAGACCATTCCACAATCAACCCAAATGACACATTACACGCCTGTACAATGCTTTGTTGCTTTTGTCTTCTTGTTCCTGCTGTTGAGATTAGAATTGGCGGGCGGGTTTGATAAAAGGTATAAAAAGTAAAACGGGTTATACCATAAAGCAGCGAGAGTTAATCATCGCATTTGAGAAGGTTTATTCTGCCTGTGCAATTCACCATTTCCGTCGGTTATCATCCTGCTACACAAATAAAAGTGGTCATCCAGCGTGCACCGTAATCGAGATCCAGACAGTAATCCGTTCTTTCGTTACCAGTTGACACAATGAACTTGGCAACCTGCATTTTATGTTTCTTAGTGACAGTTCTGATTGTCATCACAAAGGCCGATAATGCCAATGGTAAGTTTTCACTTAAATTATGAAAGTACTACGCCAAAAATGACTGAATGTCCCATTATCGACGATAAGTTTAATCTGTCTTTTATTTATACAGTCCTTACACAAGAAGGGTTTTTTGACAGTTATTTTAAATTAGGGAATAAGACTCGTTTGATCGTTAAGATTGAAGAGTTTGATCGCTATAACATGTAGTGAACAGTTCCATAGGCATTGTAACGTTTGAAAGGCGAGTTTGAATTTTTCAAGTGCATGTTACAGCAACTTTCTTTTACCACTCGACTGTCTTAGTAAGGAAAATATTAGATTTACTCGGACTGTTTTTAGCATTTGTTTCTTGGGTTTTGTCGGATTAAAAACGCCGTAAGGTGTCAAAATTAACTGACAAGGGTCCGGAAAGTCATGGGGACAATTTGTAACTTAAACAATGACATGATTTCCACTGAAAATACATATTTTTCGATGGAAATTTTTAAACGACCCGTATTGTGAAACACAGTGCATCGTTTTAAAGGAGACATTTTAAGATAGTTTGTGCATGTTATTGTGCATTTGTGTTTGATATTTCAGAACACTGTGGAGGATACTGCAATTTCACACAGGTCCGAAAAAGATGCCAGAATAATCAGGAGCTTCAAAGCATCAGTGGGTTTTTCTCGGCTTTCACCATTTACCTATTTGAAACCCTCTAATTATCATCATGTTTGTCATAATTGTTAATTGTTTCATCTAATTGGCTTTATGGTGCGCAGAAAGAATTCAACAATTGCTTCCTACCCAAACGTTGCTCTTCTGTCTGTGTGAATACACATGCATGTAATGGGTAACAATGATCGAATGACCATCCTCAACTAATATCTCATGATTCAACCCACGATTAGTTACTTTTTGCTTAGCTCAATTTGTCCCACACTTTAGAGCTTTACCCGTTTTTGAAAGCTCCTGCAAGGAATTATGTTTTAAGTTCCTTTGTTAGGCTAATGAGCAGCCTTGCTGACATCTTTCAACCTCGTGCGCATGGGACAGAAGCAATTCATTTTGAAGTCGTTATCCACCCCCCCAAAAATAGACTGGAGACTAATCACAAGGACGATTTTAGAGGGTTTTCTGAAAGTAGTGAAAAAATCCATTGGGAGTCTGGAGGGATATGATCATAAGGTTTTGATTGGACGCTTATGGTATTACCACCATGACCATTCTTTGTGCATATGTGTATAATAAATAGTCCATAAAATGAGTGTTTAAAATTTCTTCTAACAGCCAGGCGATGAAGTGGTTAACTCCAGCTCTTCATCATCTGGCCTCTCCTGCATGTGCTACAAAAATGCCGGGGCAGGGTTGCAACTTCACGTTTGTTTTAATCTATTCTTGCGTTCACTTAGGAATGATTAGAGGTTAAGTTCAACAGTCAATTTATTGCACAATCTGAATAGTTCTAACAGCGCTCGTGGCAGCACCTTTAGAAAGCGTGCAGAAGTCATACTTTCTAACTATTCTTCTAAAAATATTTTTATTGGCAAACGTTATGAGCTTATTCTCATAAGTGTGCCATCAAAAACCACAGTGAATGGTTTAAATTTGCCTCATGCCATTCGAATATCCTGGAAATGCCTGAACTGATTGCTATTTTTTATGCAGATGAAAATGGCAAGCCCTGTGGGAATCAACGGGTCAACCAGCTACGAGGTGATTGCCTGAGAACTCACAATTGTAAGTAAGACCTAAGCTCAAAGACCGTTAGCACTCAACACACTCATCACAGCATTAATTCTTGATCTCTCCTCCGAGAACCGTTAATTCTTGATCTCTCCTCCGAGAACCGAACAAATTTTCTTTCGATATCACTTTCCTCATTCTGTAGCTTATTTTCCTTATGGTTGTTATGATCGCTAACATCATATACTTGTCAAGACACAGACAATTGTATATGCAAGTTACATAATTCCAATATACACCCCCCCAAAAATAGCGTCTGCACCGCCAACAATTTTCATAAGAACTGCCGTTTGAAGTGCTTGTGGAAGCTCAACTGATATTTCGTTTTGAAGTTGACAACTGTAATGCAATCTGTTTACATTATTATAGTTATGAAAATGACTCAAAAACAGGATACTCAAGCCGAAAGGAAACATCGTTTCACGTTTGCAGTGTTGGCCTCTACGTTTCGAGCAGGGACACACTCTGGTTGCTTGCCAAAAAACCAACAATGTTGTGGAGAGGATTGTTGGTTGCGATATGACCACAACGCATACATGTCATAGTCGTTCGTGAACCAGTGAAGTGCAGATCCAGAGGAGCCCTCGTTGCTAGGAAAAGTGCCCCCTCTCTTGGTTTCGCTCGGGGCGGATACCACAATAACTCACGTAGATGGGTTAGCGAAGTGCGTGATCTAACTTTGTCGACAGTCTTCGCCTAGGAATATGTCAGTCGCGACAATTTTCTCCCATCATCGGGCACTGTTCAGCGATATTTTATGTGTATCCTGACCTAGTTTTGGAAACTAGACTTTTGCAGTTGAGTGACCTAACATGGCATGATTAATACTGTTAATTGCTTTATTCCCGTTAAACAGAATCCTCCTGCTCGATTTCTTTTCATTATTTTCAGGTAAAAGAAAGCGAACTGTCCCAGACCTGCAAAGAACTTCTCTTCTACGGACCTTAATCGCACGACGCAACAAAGAGGTCTTTAAAATTGATACTTCATATTTATTTCTCTAAATCGATGCCCTGTTCGCATTAATGCAAGTTTTTTTTAATCAATGGTGTTAATCAGTGAAATGGATCAACACTTGACTGACATTTTTATGACTGCATTTCCAAAAACGTATACATTTACATCAGTAAGGAATAAAATTTTGGCCACATTATTGGACACTAAGGAGTATAGAAAATAGTTCTTGCTTTGAATAGAAACTGAATTGAGCTATTCTTGTCCAATCACAGCCAGAGTATGGTGCTTTTGATCAGCCGAGTGATCTTTCGTCGTATTTCATTGGTGATGTTTATCAGATTCGGATACCAGCTTGGCAAGAACGCATCCTCAAGGTAAAAAAATATCAAAAATGAGAACTACATTTTGATGCATGTTACTCTTCTGTAAATCAAGGGAATCGGAAGGAATGCCTACAAACTTCACATCTTATGTGCATGTTCGGGCGTGGACCTTGAGGGAAGGGTCGGGGGTCAGCCCCTCAACCCGCTCCTTGCCATATACATGTATTGGTTTTCTTTTGCGTGTACCGTTAATGATATACCTACGATATTATGTAACTTTAACAACGGCGAGGGCTTAATTTAGTACCCACACTACATTGTGCGAAAACAAATCATTGATCCCCCCTGATTCAGTACGTTTGATTGTTATTCTTACTTCGAAAGTATACGTGAACTAACGGTATAAAAGTATGATGGTTTGTGCCTGGACAAATCAGTTTCTCAATCTTTCAAAGTCAGGAGGGGAAAGAAGTGGTCGTGATAAAAAAAAATAGGCTAAGTAATATAATCCTTTAGACATGCCAGGCGACATACCTGAGTTATTTTTTGTTACAATAAAGCTTACAACATATGTTGATTCAAGCTTGCAGACTTATGTTTATCAGGGCACCCTTTTTATATTCTATGGTTTTCATTTCCTACCAACCCTATTTTGGGCTCCCGATCACGGAAAAAAGCTATGTTTTCCCCGCCCACCCTGCTAAAAAGACCTAACCCCCCCCAAAAAAAAAATGAAGGGAAAAAATTGGCCAGCATGACCTTTGAGAACAAAAGCCCTGAAAACTTTCGATTTCGCAAACGACGGTCGTCGTTCGCGTGAACATTCGGTATACCGCGCCTTTCCGTGGCCCACTGCGATTCCTGCATATCCCTACACCAGCAACATGGAATTTTTTTTAAGGTTTTTTTTTTTCGACTGACCGACCTTACCTCAAGTGGTAAAAGAAATAAGAACCTTAGAATTTAATAAGGGCGCCCTTATGAATATTCGGTTCACTTTCTCCCTACTGCATCATTACTACACGGCTATTTAGGTCAGATTCTTTGCAAATAAGTGGCAGGGGTGTACATCCCTCGGTAGTCGAATCATGTTCACGAAACATACTTTACAGCCTTTCAGTGCCCCCAACCCGTCGACGAAATGCGAATATGCACTGGATTCCTCCAAAAGATTTCACCCTAGTGAGGCCTCCTACACCCAATGAGGTATCCATACCCACAAGAGGTATTATTTCTTGGGGATAAGCAACCACCATTCGTGGAGCTTTTGAATGATTCTTCCATTGAAAACCAGAAACTAAGGCCAAATCATATGTCATTTATCACAGTTCTCGTTTCCAAAGAATTGGAGATGATTGGAAATTCATTTAATCAGTGCGGCATGGCGTAATTCTGTTTATTAAATTTGCTCTTTCCCTTTCGTAAATACCCCGGAAATTTACTGATGTGGAACTGCACCTATTTATATGAACTCTGGGAAATATGAATTATGTATCTCTGTTATGTCTAATAGGGCCACTTTCCTGTCGTAATGAGCACTGATGTAATGCACGAGAGTACAAAGGCCCACGCAGTGTATACATTTTAGTACTCCTTTGTTCATTTTTTGTGATTTGTACTCTGTTGCTTAGATGCTGCTATTTTCACAGCATTTCGGGGGATTTTTATTTCTTTATTTTTGAATATTATTGAGTGTGAATATGATCAGCCAAAAATGTGTAATTTGCTAGATACTTGGGAACTAATTTTTGCTGTCGATTACGTTTCATTTTCTCTGGTGATTCGTTGCTGTTTCAGTTTGAACTGAACTCAGGGACAGGTGGACTCTCGCATTCCAACTTTTTTGTCGATTGGTGGCATTGAACGGGATGGAGGAGGGTTGCTTTTGCAAAACAAACAGATTTTCTCTTTTCCAACCAAACGCCACGGCTGCCGCAGTCAAGCAAAAGTGGCCGGGAGTAACTCTCTCCAGTGCTACTACCATTTTAAGGTCACGCCAGTAACTAGTTCGAGGCATTAAATCACCTTGCCAGCAACCGCAAGGGAACACTACTGACCCACTTAGTGACAAGAGCCTCCAATGTTCCACAGTGATAAATTATTTGAAGCTGCAATTTATTTTGCCTCAAATTGATTATTACACGAAACAACTGCGTAACTTGTTGTCTCAGTCACCATATTCTGGGTTCCCAGTTTTGACAGTAACCCCCGGACAGTCTATGTTATGAAAATTAGCATTAGCACTCTAAAAAAGGTTTGAAAATGTCGAGTTTTCAATAAAAGGAACCACGAAGAGATGGTGGTTCTTTCTGTTTAGAAAGTAGCATAAAACGTGTTCTCAAGTGAAATCCGAATTATCAACCCTTCCTAATTTATAAAAATCTGCAAACAGAAATATATTATAAATTCGAAAATTTAACTGTTTCACAAACAGCGCCACTCATTGAAAAAGCACTCCAAAGTAAGTTTCGATTAAAGGATTAGTGATTTTTTCTTAGAACTTCCTGCACGTTTGAACTTTTGCTCTAAGTATGGAAATCTCTTTGGAATGAAGTGAATCGTTAAGTGCGCTTCTTTAAAGATTCAAAATTTGCCAAGCTCTTGCAAACAAGGGAGGGCGCTGTCAGTTTTTAGTCTAAAAAGCCAGTTAACGTTGGATTTTCTCACCCGAAAAAGCTGCTTGGTCGAGGATTTATTTCCCGCATATTCGTCAAGGCACACTTTAGGTTCCAGCACTTTCTTTCTTTTCCCCGTTTTTCAACTGCCCTGGTAGATATAGGCCTCATACAAGAGTCACACGTGGCCATATTTGATTTTGGCAATACGGGGGAAATCAGAAAATCGCGCCTCCAACTATTTGCAACGCGTAGGCGATCACCAAAACAAAATCTGTCTACCCAATGCACGTTTGGAAAGGTTCGACAGATTTCGCCCGTTGTGAATGGCGTATGCGTTGCAAACTCTTCGAGGCGCACTATTGTGAATAGCCTGTATTGTTTCGGGGTGCATTCCACCAAATCGTTGTATTTGCGCGTGCGAGTTCATTAATATTTTTTGATCCCACGTTTTTTTAATACAGTAAGACATGACTTAATAAGGCCTAGGATCATAGAAATATTTCTAAAAATCCCGAATTTGGGATTGATAGTTTCCAGTTTTGGGTATTTCTTTTACAAAAAGACCCAAATTGCAGGCTTATTTTGGATAGAGGCTGGCGGCTACATTCAGATTTGAGCACATAGTTTTACTAATATTTTGGAGGTATCTTCGAGGAAAGGCGAATAATAAAAATGGTGACTAGCCCCCCTAAACGAAAAGTTATCTTCTGGCCATAACCTTGAATTTCCAGTGAAAAAAACCGGAGGCTACCACTTCCAGAGAGTGAACAGGCGGCGCTATTTCGGTCTGATTTTCACTGTTTTCTATTGGCGCGTATTTTGGAGTAGTGCAAACCTTGATACAACTTTATCTTTTTTTGTAAGTGCCGTTTGCTCAAACAAAGGAGGTCTTTAATCCCTTAGCTCTTTTGCGTAGAGTGTGAGCTCCCAAAATTAATTCGAATTACTCAAGAAGGAAAATTGTGTTAATACGCCATCCGGCTTGAAGCGGATAAGGACTCACTTCCAATCCCTTACAAACGACCCACCATCCTAAACATAATTATTTACCATAATATTCTTTCTGTCTCTCTTTTTGATTTGTTTCTATTTAACAGCTACTGGCAATTATGGAGACTGGCATGGAAATATAACCAACTGATCAACAGCGTTGATGTGAGTCACCTCACCTCATCTCACGTCATTCCAACATCTGTGTCTTTTATTGGTAGGAGATAATAAATAATTAAGAAATCGAAAGCTTTATGTATTATTCAAATTACTTATTCCTTTTTTTATAATATGTCTTTGAAAGCCTGTGCGAAGTGCGAGTAGCTGTTAGATAAGCCCGTGGTCATAATATTGCTCTAAATGTCGCATCGCCGCCTCTTCTGAGTTGTGGAAAGATTTCTTATGCAAAGTCAAAATGTATAGCTTTAATTATCCTCAAAAAGATCATTATGATATTTGCAACTGTTGCTTTTCAGCCTTTCAAACAAACGGAAATAGAATGTTACTAAACATTTAGGGTAAGAGATTGCAGATATTGATGAAAACCTGATAAAATTTATCCCAAATTTGAAGACAGACTGACTACACTTAGGCCAATAAATGATATTTATCGATGACAGTAAAGTTAGTTTGATATTGGACATTCCCATTGGTTTGTACAGTATTTATCGTGTTCATTCACTGCAACAATTTTTAAGCTCTTCACAAGTTCATCTTTCCACGACAAATGCCAATTCTCGGGCTAACCCCAAATGAATTGAGTTTAAACATTTGCAAAATTCATCAATGGGCCCCAATAAGTACTAATCAACTTGTATTAATCAACGAAGAGAAGTTATCGGAGTCAAGACCTTTCAATTAATTCCGTGGTATGAAAGTGGTATAAAAAAGAATCTTTTTCTATCATCAGACAGAAGTGTTGACAGTCAATTACAACTTTGCTTATTCAAGCAAACCTCTCAGGTAAATGGTCATTCATCCCGCACATGTATAATAAAAGCCCTTGAAAACATGCAATGTGTAACAACTAGGCCTATACGAACCTATTTTGTTGGTCCTGTATTGTACATTGTAAAAAGAATCTCTGGCACAAAAAGTGGATTGCATTTTCCTATTTTAATCATTAGTTAACATTTCATATGCATGCTAGAAATTATATTACTTTCTTTTTTATTATTTTAAGCTTCTTTTTCTTTGGTTTTCGCTAAATTTGCCTCATTCAGTACCCATCCGTCTCGCAGAAAGTTGCCTGATCTCGATGAATTAGTTTCAAGCTTTCTGAATTATGGTCGCCTGAATAATTCGTTGGGGCTTTGTCGATTTTTCTGTAGTTTTGCCTTTGCTTCGATCCTAGTAAAGATGAATTCGATCCATTGTTCAGCTTTGCTTCTGGCTTGAGCTGTTAACTGCGTAACGCATCGGCTTGGTGCACAACTGTTTTTTTTTTTCACTCTCATGGTACGTGCCCATCAAACCACACACAGAGACACACAGTTGGCACCATATCAGAGGACTGTAGGGGGTACACACTGCCTTCATTACCTCACAAAGCAAAATGGACTTACATGTTTGAATTACTTGCGGAAACATACTGAATTCCTCTCAATATAATTGTAAGGAGTTGGAGACAACAAGCTGGTTTAGCTAGCGGCTAATTTGGGACCCACAGATCACTGCTTCCTCACTGTCCTCTTTTACATGCCCCGGTCTTTATGTGTTTTAGATTTAGGTTGTTTTTTTATTATTAATTACTTTCTTTCAATTAGTCTGGTAGCAAATCTTTCACAAAGGTCTTTCCTTTATGTGATTTTTGTTTAGGAACAAACAAAAAGAAATGCAAAATTTTAAACTTTTTGCAAATTATTTTCCTATCCAGCATGGCATGAAGCAGGCTGTACTGGATGGGGGTTTTTTATAAAATTAATGGTCAAAGTGAGTGTAGTCAAATTTTGAGCAGAATCTGAGGTGACAAAGGCTACGACTTAGGGGAGGAGTAGAGAAGGCAAAGTTGGCAGTGCTTTTCACCTACTGTAAAAGCTTGAAATTTGTAAAGAATGCAATCAAATTCAATATCAACCAAATTACTAGGGATGATGTTTTTTAGCTTTCAATTACTTGTCTTACTTTTTAAATTTTTTAAATTGTTCTTAAAACAAATACTTTTAACAAAATGGTGTTTTCTCAATAAAATCAACTGGCAAGCCTAGTTATGAAAATGAACAGTGAGTTCAACAAAATTCACCTCACTTTAATGAGTTTTCTACATCAACGATGAGTAGTTGTCAAGTCGAAGAGCTTATAACGAAACCTGATCAATTATTAATGTTCATCGTATTATTATCATCAGTTTCTACAAACGACTGTATATACAAATATTTATTTATTCATCAATGACGCATGTATTAACGTTTGTCATGAACATTTTATGTTGAAACTATATTATACATAAACTGAGACTCTTCACACCGTAACCCATTTTATGAAATCTTACGTTTATTTTCTGAATGTCGTTGCATTTTTGGCCTTTCTAATTAATAAATATTTCTTGCATATGCTGCAACTCTTGCGTGCTTATTTTTTCGTTTTAAATATTTTGTCATGCTGAATTTTGTCCACTACGAAGCCTATTACGGGTCAACTTGTCTGTTATTTAGGACAAGCTCTCTCCTACAACGGGAAGCAAAGCTTGGAATTTTCCTTTTGTGTTTAGGTACTAAAGACTTTCAGAGTTGCTGTTGTAAATCAGCACTCGGAAAGACTGCTGCTGGAACAACCACGCGGTAGGACGGCTTCCCGTGGTGACAGGGCCTTTGCCTGTGCCGCTCCACGTTTAGAGAACAAATTGCCATTGGAGATTCGGGCAAGCGACTCCGTCACTTTTTTCAAGGGAAGACTGAAAACCTTCCTTTTCAGCAGCAGTATGTCCCTTTCGTATACCTATTCCACTATAGTCACTCACGGTGTCTCTGATCACTTTTGTGGATATAGCCATCTTAAACACTTTGATGATTGATTGATTGATTGATTGATTTAACGAATCCAAGGTGTTTTTGTTTTGTTTTTAATTTGCATGACACGTTTGCCGTCGGCCGACTTGCAAGTAGCCGACTTGCCGCTTATTTTATTTGAGAGAATTTCAATAGACAATAAGAGGAAATATGTGTTTGATCAGGACATCCCGCGCCCCACAAAAACACGATTTAAAAAGAGTTATACTATAAACCCTTCTTAATCTTTAATTAACTCAAGAAAGGAAAGCAGAACAACTCAAGTTCCTTGTGTACAGCGCAGCCGCCTCAAAGAACTTTCGTCAGTGTGTTCCCACAATAAACTGCGAAAAGGGCCTCACCTTGGCAACCTCTTGGTGGTGCATGACATTGCGAATCGCCAGAACTGAGTGTCAACTTTAGACAGTGCAACCAAAAGGTTGTTCATTATATGTGATGTACAGCGTGCAACTATTGTGTTCTAATTGGCTGTGTGCACCTCACTGGCGCATAATTCACCATTTTGGTTCCAACAATTGAGACAATCATGTCGTAACTCTCTCGACAAACATCTCTGTGAATCGCCCTTATGCTGCGTTGAGCGTGGTGTATTTGCACTTTTTCCAACAAAGCAAACAAAAAATATTGCGTATGCACAAATGGAGAATACGAAGCAAGAATTTGAAATTATGTTGTGATACCTGAATGAGGTTGAAACTACCCCTCCTCTTCAATTCAACATCTCACTGTCCTGCGAAAAGCAAAGAAGACAGCTTCAGAGGGCGCTTTTAACACACAGCGCAACGCCGTCGAGGGCGACAGCAGGGTCTAACGGTTTCCAACGAAATTGACTCTTTGCTTACAGCCCGCCACAAATTTAGTCCAGAGTTTTCCTGGGGTACAAAATCCCGACTACTTAAATTTCTGTGTTTTAAAAACATTTTGTGGCAAATAGACTATAATTAATTTTACAAAGAAAGGAGGAAATAACCATCTGGACATTCACCTTGTATTTTTGAGGGAACAGATACAAACAGGCTCTTTTTGTAGCTCTATTTTGCAATAAAGAGAAGGCTTCTATTTATGAAAAGGTGACGCAATGCACGACGTTATAAGGCAGATCATAGCTCAGACGTTTATGATATTATACATTCAAAACTATAAAAAGACACGAGTTAACAAATTTTAATGTGATGTGTTTCTTCAACAACGGATAAAGTAGTGTTTTTCTTGACATTTTTTAAAAGTGGGTATTTGTCATTGTTTTCCATGGTACCTTATTTGCTGGCCTGCAACCACTGTACAGTCGTTACCAGTTCACTTCTCCAAGTACATTGTACTTACGCTTGTTCTTTGTGCGTGGAAAGTAAGAGCGCCACCGAACATTAAAGGAACTCATAGAAACTTACATTGTAATTTCGCGCATCGACAGAATGTAATGTTTTTTAGGGCAGAATTGCCTAACATACATACGGTGATGATTGGAATATAAGCCTGGTGTGTAAGCCGCCTGGTGTATAAGCCGCACTGCAGTGCTGACGATCCAACACGGTCATCGCGCTGTGAGCTGAAGCGCCAATACAGCAAGTACAGTTCGTCAACTACACGTGAAATTCTAATAAAAGTATAAAACAAAATGAAAATGGGTGTCACCATAAAAACTGAATGTTAAGTCCTCAAATTTAATATGGGGGGGGCTGCTGGATGGTGGTCCTGCATGGGCAATGCATCAGCTTTTGCCTTTTTTACCAACGGCCAGCAAAAGTTATGCACTTGGGGACGTACAATAAAATCTTGGTATTGAAGTTAGTTCTTTAAGTAGAAAGATCATTTTATCTCGTAAGTCGACTATTTTTTGGCCAAAAGAATAGGCTTTTATATAAAAATACCACTGTAACCTTCCACAACACTACATCCGATTATCCCAAAATTTTTGTAACGCCGATAAAGAAAAAAACACCGCCAAATCGCTTCAAAGTGAAAAATACGACACGAGACCTTGGTTGAGTCGACACATTGGAACCGCTTATGTTGCACTGCATGCATGCTGTTTGCGGCGCACACACACTGCACACCACATTGCGAACATTGCAAACCCTGTTTTCAGGCTAGCCCGACTACTACCACAGACCCATTCATGGACAATCCAATCGCTGACTCTTTCCAATAACCACTTGACCACAGAAAGTAAAAATGCAGAAAAATTCTGAAGCTATTCATGCTTATTATGATCGGCGAAAAGACGAAAAATCTGCAGCACGAAGATACACCACTGAAGCGGTTGATTCTTTTCAACGGTATAAAAAAATCTCTTTCTCTTTCTCAAGCGGTGGATTCTTTGTAAAAAGAATCAACCGCTTCAATGGTTATAACAATAGGTTATAGTATTTTAGGTTATAACACTAAAAAAAATTAGCAAAATGATTATCGGTCTCCAAAAATACACCATGAGATTGAATAAAAAGCGGAAAACAATCACTAAATAATCTTGCCACGGGCAAGTAAAGTTTAAGATTATTTACAAATTTCATGTAGGGCCTCTGTTAGTGACACCATGACTTGGAGAATTTTGTTAATAACTTCAAATCCTCAAATTTTCATTTAATCTGCGAGGTTCGAGGTTTCAGAGTGAACGACAACCAACGAAAACACGTGGTATGCGTGGCCCGGCGCGGCTTTTGTGACTGATATTATCCTTAAGAGTTTACCGTATAAGCCGCCTGGGGTGTAAGCCGCAGAGACATTTTTCAGCGTGAGAATCAACGCATGGGTTGCGGCTTATATTCCGAAAATTACGGTACATTTCCCAGAAAACTCATGAAAAAAGGAAAGGAATGAGGAGGTTCATGCCCTTGTAAAAAATACCAAACCTCTAAATTGGCAAAGGAAAGGAATGTTCATCGAACATTGTCAAGTTGTAGCTCTGAGAACATTCAGTCAACATATTGTTTTGATTGTACACACTATGGCTCTATACTTTAGCTCACATTTATCTTACATTTACATTTCTACTCTCTCTCAATACCTATACGTCACTGTTTAACCCCAACAAAATAATATTTTATGGCTTCAACACTGAAATGTACACCACAGTGGAAGTCTGAAATTCGGGGGAAAAGAATTAACTTCCCTTATAAAATGTAAACCTGAACAAATGTCGAGTTGACGATTAATCAGTGACGCTGCTCATCATCAGATCAACAGTGGCCTTTGTATGTAGCTTTTTTGGCATCTTGAACTGGTTGTAACTAGCTGTTGAGTTCGCTACGATGAATTCTTGTAATTTCTTGAAGGATCCTGGGCGAACGATCATCACTCGAGCTTCGCATATGGTGCCAATTGTGCGGTAATGGTCATAGAACTCATGCTGTTTGCGTAGGGACTTATCGAACTGATGAGAGAAAAAGGAATACATGCGATTCTAAAAGCCCAAACGGCAAGATGTGTGGAATTATAAGAAATAGCAGATTCGATTCCTGATGCCAAAATTGCATCATCAACAATAGCAGTTAAAAACAACTGAAATAGCAGTGGTGGTTGGGAAACAAACATCAACAAAGTTTCTACTTTATTGCTATAAATGTTGTTACTGTAGCCAGTGTGTAAAATTACCAAGGACTTTTGCTTCGACGACAAAAGCACCTCTGCTTCCAACTCGACGAAGAGTAGATAGTACATATCATACTGGACGCCTAAGGATAGAACAAAGATCATTAATCTCAATTTGCTTCAAGTGTTTCAAGTGGTATTATATGCTCTACATTTTTGTAAACTAATGGTATTGTGCATCATTGTAGTGTGTAGTGTAATAAAAAAATACGAAATATTTTTTTAGATTACAGTATGCAATAACTGCACGCTACAACCGATTTTCTGTGATATCCTTGGAATCGTTAGAAAGTAAACATTGTATCACATTATATTGTTCAAAGTTTTCTTAGGTAAATGGCAGCTATTTGCGAGCCATTTTAAGCGAGAAGTCAAATTTTATTACACCGTATCCAATACAATGTAACAATAAAATAATCAACAAATAAAAGTGCAAGAGCTAAATACTTTGTAAGGCATTTTCATTCCAACATTAAATGGCCGTAAACTATTGTCCAAGAGTGGGTTTTTTGCCTCCTCTTCAACGGAAGCTTTGTGTTCGAGGCCACAGAAATGGCCTTAAAAAGGCTAACAGGACTTTGGGCAGATATTTACCCTCTTGGTCCCCATACATCAATGGGCTTTCGGCGCATGTCCATTCCACGAGTGTGACCCCTGGCCAGTTTCCCAAGCTTTCCTGTATTGCGTTGTTCACAACAAGCTTGTCAATCTTTTCGCTGCGTAGATTGAGCAGTTCACCCGTTCTGAATTGAGGAGAACATTTATTATGACTTACAGACTACTTTCTCACTATCTTAACGTCAGGCCATTGTTGAATAGACAATTAATTCAAAAAAATTGCAGATGTCCTCGCCAGAATTATCTTTTTGGTACGAAATTTAACGTATAAATATTGACGGTCTATCCAGTTGAATTTACCTATACTTTATCTGAATCACGGGGCAGTTCTCATGGAAACCCACAACCTCAACCACATCGCCCATGCGGTATCGATAAAACCCAGACACAGTCGTTAGGACTATCTCGTAGCGTTTTCCAACCTCGATCTCGTCAATCAGTAGCGTCTCTGGATTCTCCTCCGCACTGTGGGCAATGAACAATAGGAATTATTTTAGACTTTGTTACAATACGGCTTGGCATGTCGTTCGTTCCAACCGTTTTTCCCAAGGGCTCTGGCACCAGCTAAACGTTTTCACATTTTCGACGGAAATGTCACAGCGTATTTTGGGAAATTAGTTGTACAGGCCGCACTTACAGACAGTAATGTTCACTGCCCGAAGTCATTAGGTGATTAAAAAAACAACAAGTTCATCCATCAAAAGTTGGCCTGAGATCGAAAAACTTTGGTTTCTATCAAGCTTTCTTACAGATTCAACTCAACCACACTTAAAAACAAAATTGAGAAAGGCTCCTTAGTTTTCCAATCTAACTAATAGGAAACTAATAATTTAAATGATGATAATGATAAGTAGATAAATACGTTGCATAATGGGGGATCTAGGACTGCACTCCCCGATTTATCTTTTGAGACTTGCTTCACATAGTTTTACACTTTTCAAAAAGAACTGAGTCTAACCAGAGGTCTTCAGGAACAAACTCAGTCAAGACTTCAGTGGGAATCAGCACGTAGCGCTGTGGTTGGCCGTCCATCCATAAGTTAACTGCAACAACAGACTCGGTACAGGCATAGATAGGACTATAAGACCTGGTACCTACGCAGGGTTTAAATGAAAGTCGTCAATTTATTTTAAATTTAGGGTATAACTTTTCTTTTTAAAGAGGCAAACTAATCCATAGTATAGGTTTGTCACTTTAAATGTACCAGTAAGCACACAACCAAAAACACCGGCCCGACGCTAAATGACATATTGGACTCTTTTGAATTGAACTCAAATTTGAAGAGTATACAAGCCAAATGTTACGTCACAGGGGAAAAACGAATGCGTTTTTAAAAAAAATAAAAAAAAACCAACAAAAGTCCGGGTCAATACTTTCTCTAATTCGTCGTACTACTGTTACAAACGAATCGAATCAAAACTTCAGCAGCTCGAGATCTACGTTTTAAGACGGTCGTAATGGTAAAGAAGTAGACTCCAGACAGCACACAGGTATGTAACAAATAAAGCTGCAATTCTTCGGGTGTCAATAGTTTGATGGCTGTTACCTTTTGTATACTTTTCACTGAGTTTTTTCATGTATCCAGATATATCAATAGTTGTGATGCCCAGCAAATGCGGCCAGATCCGGATAGCGATGCCTTCAAAGCCTCGAGCAAACTCCGCTCTCAGCTCGTTGGCCCTCGCTAGGTTGGGCTTCAATGCAGCATTCAGGGACCGTCGAATCTCCTCATCAAGGTTCAAGCTAGGATTGATCCTGCCTACAGACAAATCCTCCAGGAACATATCTTGGTCATCCTCCAGCATTGCAAATGCCCTATACACCTGCGACGCAAATGGTGCCGTGAATATACAAATGCTTTTATCCAGAAGAGCAAAGAGAAGGTGGACATAGGTGGCTTCGAAGTCAGTTGAAATCTGGAAAGCGCTGAAAGGTGTATTCTGTATGGCCGTGAAGTGAATTTGCTCGAATACACTTGCACTGATAAAGAAAAACGGAACAATGGGCAATCCTGACTTTGTAAACCTCTTTGCTGGTCGGCAATACAAAGTGAATATTTTCTGTATGGGACTTGGCTTATACAAGTACCATTGGGATATCATCAGTAAAAATACCGTGGAGGTTTTCATCACAACTGGAATCAGCTTTCCCTTGCCTGTGGTACCAGAAGAAGTCCCAAATCTGTCAAATTTGGTCGCCACACAGACGTTCTTCTCTCCTTCCGCCAGTCTCTGGAAGTAATCCTGGTAGTGGTCATACTTAGTGAGTGGATGTTTGTCTCGGAAATCTTGCAGTGATTGAATGCCTCTCAAGTATCGCCTGCCGTACTCAGTATTCGCATCACGGGAGATCAGCTCCAGGAGGAATGCTTCTTGCGCTTTGCTCGGCTGTCTCCAGGCCATCGACATCTTTGAGAAGAAGAACGGACCGTAGAGGTTCATCGTCTGATGGGTGGCATACTGCACTAGGAGTGTCTTTAGAGTATGAGTCTCAGAACATCGCAGGGTAGAAATGTGGAAGGCCATCATGGAGGAAAAGGTTCCCAAGACGGCAAAAATACCTAAACAGATAAAGACAAAAATAACCCAAACAAAAGCTAAAACAAACAAGCAAAAGCAAAAAACAACCAGAGCTTACTGTCTGTTTTCCAAAAGAACAGAGGGCTTTTTCGCATTCTTTTGTACATTTGATCCTCACGTAATGTGACCCCTGATGATGTCATTATGACAATTTTGCCCTGCAATCCTCTTCACGTGGTGGACCAGTAGTGTTCATAAAAATAAAATCAGTTAGATTGACCAGAGTTCTGAAGTTTGGCTGTTGCAAAACGGGTACAAATCCTACGGGAAAATATTAAATATTCAATGTCACGTGACTTGTCTGCTGATAACATGGTCATCACATGAGGGCAATCTCCGTATATAAACCTTCCCTTCCTATATATTTGCATGTTTTCTAATCCAGACAGACATGCACAATACAAAATAGAATATAACACATTATTTTCATTATGGAAGGAGGACAGATTATAGGTTGCAAACATTTTTTCCCTTTTGGCGTTCCCTACAATGTGATCTGGTCCCAGCACTATGCGCTTGGCAATTAGCCTGCTCCTGAGTATATGCCTTACACACTGTGCGCTGCGTGTGTTACAGTCAGATATCGCGTGTTCACGCACACAGTAGCCTGTGCAAAGTGAATGGGATTCTCGAGTTTACAAATACTGGAAGGGGGTTTTGTCCTTTGCGCTTCATCTGTGTGAAGAAGTACACCACTTACGTGCTTCAAGCAGTTGACTTCAATGTTTTAGCTATCGTCTTATGAAAATGTTATGACTTAAATCTGTAACGGTTGATTTTTTATCGAATTTTGAAGAATAAAATTACTTTTTATTATAACTTCCGATCCGATGACGCCATAGGCCCAAATTTCACACGTGTTAACTGGTTAAAGGTCATCACTTACATCGATTTTCAGGCGATATGGACAAACTTTGCCACGGACAGAATTTTCAACCTGTCACTAGAGGGCGTTCGCCGATTAAGTGACGTCATCAGTAGATGATTTGAAGAATACTATACCCAACAGACCAACACCGTTGAAAGCAAGTTGATACCTATTGCCACTTTCAAACAATAAGCCCACTTCCAGTTTCGATCAGTAGGAAGGGTCTTTTGATTTAACACACACGAGAGGAATACTCTGCCACTTGCTGTAAACAGTATTTTGCGGGAGGCCACGTTTGATTTGATACGTTTTTTGTTACATTAACATAATATTAAATATTAAGTCACTTGATGACGTCATCATTATGTTATTATTTTAGTGCCATCTTTTGTTTAAGGTCCATGCTTGGTGTAACATTGATGACAATCGAACATCGCTAAATTACCCAAATTGTGCTTTAAAAACGTGTACAAGTCAATGGGTTGATATAAATATTAAAAAAAAATTAATAATAAATCAGTAAATGACGTCATTGTGAGTCATTGTTTTAGGAGCATCTATGTCTGAGGGTTGTTCATTAATGTAAGTTTTATGAAAATCCAAAGTTGCGAAGGGGCTATACTTGTTGGCTGAAAAAACGTGCAGAAAATAATGGGGGGTGTTGGTCAGAAGAAACAACGACAGGTTTTATCTGTCTTAAGGGCAGAGCAAAGGGCTTTTTGCAATTTCCTTTTTCTTAAGAAAAGGGCATTCCTTCATTTGAAATACTGCTTCGTTTGAATTTCTTACTTCTTACTCAAATATCAATCCAATAATTCCAAACGTTTCTAAAAACATTTTTGGTATTGGTAAATATTTTTGAACCCATTCTGATTTAAGAATGTAACGAATGTAACGAATTAAAGTTTATACCCTTTACATCACGTCACCTTGTCTATAACACTTCCCATTCTAGCTATCTACCAAATTTCAACACCATCAGGCACGCGGTTCAGGAGATACAGAACTTTTTAAAAAATGTACTTTTAATGTCACATGACTAGTTACATGAAGAAGTCACCACATCAGGTCAATGATCGTCTAAAGTCCTTCCCTTTCAAGACATCTGCAAGCTTTGAACCCAAACGGGCACGTACTTCACGAGATGTAGGGCTTTTAAGAATACACCTTTATTGTCACGTGACAAGGTCATCTGATGACGTCATCATCACATTAGGCCAATTTCGTCTGTAACACTTCCCTTTCTAAATATCTGCCAAGTTTAAACCCAATATTGCATGAACTTCATCAGACATAGTGCTTTAAAGGGTGCACCATCAATGTCACGTGACTCCTCATATGACATTATCATCATATGAGGTCGATCTCCATTCATAAACCTTCTCTTCCTCACGATCTGCAAGGTTTCAACGCAATCAGACACGTACAATACTAAAGAACATTATTGTTATCGAGGAAAGAGCACAGATGAGAGATTCCAAACAATGTCATCTTTTGGCCTTCCATACAATATAATCTGCTCAGCGTCACTTGCTTGGCAATTTGCCAGCTCCCTAGTATATGCCCAATGCACTTTGCACGGTCACAAGCACAAACATTGTACGCACAAACTTTAATTCATGACTGCATTAATCAGAACTGGCAGTCTGTCTGTATGTCAATGCAACAGTAGGTCTTTTCACCATCACGTTAACTTCCTTGCTTTATTAAAAACAGCAGCTTCCTTTATCGTTGGTACCCATTCCTCTGATATCTACATGTAATTGCAGTTACGTTGAATTACAATGTTGGGAACTAACATGGAGAACAGATTTATCTCCAGCTTTCACTCCAGCAGTAGTACAAAGGACACCTACATGAACATGTATACACAAGAAGCAAAATAAGGAAATTCAACAATTTCGTGAAAT